ATAACGAAAGTTTAACTTCATCCTTTCCAATACGAATCCCCTTGATCTCCTTATGTTGTCTTATTGCTATTGCTAGAACTTCAAGCACTATATTGAAGAGGTATGGAGAGAGTGGACAGCCTTGTCGCATTCCTGATTTTAGTGGAAAGGCTTTGAGTTTCTTTCCATCCAGTTTGATGTTAGCTGTCGGCTTGCTGTATATTGCTTTTATTATATTTAGGTATGATCCTTGTATCCCCAGTCTCTCCAACACCTTTATCATAAATGGGTGTTGAATTTTGTCAAATGCTTTCTCAGCATCTAGTGAGATGATCATATAGTTTTTTTCTTTCAGTTTATTTATATGATGGTTTACATTGATAGATTTGCGTATGTTGAACCAGCCCTGCATCTCTGGAATGAAGCCGACTTGATCATAATGGATAATTTTTCTAATGTGTTCTTGGATTCGGTTTGCCAGTATTTTATTGAGAATTTTCACGTCGATGTTCATGAGTGAGATTGGCCTGTAATTCTCTTTCTTGGTTGTGTCTTTGTGTGGTTTCGGTATTAGGGTAACTGTAGCTTCATAAAAGGAGTTAGGCAATGACTCTTCTGTTTCTATATTGTGGAATACGTTAAGGAGTATAGGTATTAGCTCTTCCTGGAAGTTCTGGTAGAATTCTGCATTGAAACCATCTGGTCCTGGGCTTTTTTTGGTAGGGAGATTTTTGATAACAGCTTCTAATTCTTTGCGACTAACAGGTCTATTTAGATTGCTCACCTGTTCTTGGTTCAACTTTGGTATATGGTACTTATCTAAAAAAATGTCCATTTCTTTTACATTTTCCAACTTTGTGGCATATAAACTTTCATAGTAAGATCTAATGATTCTCTGAATTTCCTCTGTGTCTGTGGTTATGTCCCCCTTTTCATTTCTGATCCTATTAATTTGCATGTTCTCTCTCTGCCGTTTGATTAATTTGGATAGGGGTTTGTCAATCTTGCTGATTTTCTCCAAGAACCAGCTTTTTGATTCATTGATTCTTTGGATTGTTTTCTGTGTTTCTATTTTGTTGATTTCAGCCCTCAGTTTGATTATTTCCAGTCTTCTACTCCTCCTGAGTGAATCAGCTTCTTTTTTTTCTAGAGCTTTCAAGTGTGCTGTTAAGTCTCCAATGTGTGCTTTCTCCGTTTTCTTTATTTGGGCCCCTATTGCTATGAACTTTCCTCTTAGCACTGCTTTCATAGTGTCCCATAGGTTTGAGTATGTTGTGTCTTTGTTTTCATTAAATTCAAGGAAGACTTTAATTTCTTTCTTAATTTCGTCCTTGACCCAGGGGTGATTCAGTAGTTGACTGTTCAACTTCCATGAATTTGTTGGCTTCCTGGGGGTAGCACTGTTCTTGAATTCTAACTTTAATCCATGGTGGTCTGACAAGACACAGGTGGTTACTAATATTTTTTTGTATCTGTGGAAGTTTGCTTTGTTACCCAGTATGTGGTCAATTTTCGAGAAGGTTCCATGAGCTGCAGAGAAAAAGGTATATTCTTTCCTATTTGGGTGGAATGTTCTATAGATGTCTGCTAAGTCCATTTGATTCAATACCTCCAATAATTCTCTTAATTCTCTGTTAGGTTTCTGTCTGATTGACCTGTCCATTGGTGAGAGAGGTGTGTTGAAGTCTCCTACTATTAGTGTGTGTGATTTGATGACTGCCTTGAGTTCTAGAAGTGTTTCTTTTACATAAGTAGGAGGCTTTATATTAGGGGCATAGATATTCAGGATTGAGACTTCTTCCTGATGAGTTGTTCCTGTTATGAGTATGAAATGTCCATCTCCATCTCTTCTGATTGATTTTAGTTTGAAGTCGATTTTGTTAGATATTAGAATGGCCACACCCGCTTGTTTCATAGGTCCATTTGCTTGGAAAACCTTTCCCCAACCCTTTACTCTGAGTAGGTGTCTGTCTTTGTGGTTGAGGTGTGTTTCTTGTAAACAACAGAATGTTGGATCCTGTTTTCGTATCCAATCTCTAAGTCTGTGCCTCTTTATAGGTGAATTGAGTCCATTGATATTAAGAGATATTAATGACCAGTGGTTGTTGACTCCGGTCATTTTTTTTTTTTTTGGGTAGTAGAGTGTATGTGTTTTCCTTCTTTGAGTTGTGCTAGTGAAGGGTCGCTAGATGTCTGAGTTATTGTAGGCAGTGTTGGCAATGTTGGATTCCTTGGGATATAATTTTCCTTCTAATATTCTCTGTAAGGCTGGATTAGTAGTTACGTATTGTTTAAATTTTTTTTTATCCTGGAATATTTTGTTTTCTCCGTTGATAGTGAATGAAAGCTTGGCTGGGTATAGTAGTCTGGGCTTGCATCCATGGTCCCTTAGTTTCTGCAGTACCTCTATCCAGGATCTTCTGACTTTCATGGTTTCCATAGAGAAGTCTGGTGTAAGTCTGATAGGTTTACCTTTATAGGTTACTTGACCTTTTTCCTTTGCAGCTCTTAATATCCTTTCTTTAATCTGAATGCTTTGTGTTTTGATCATTATATGGTGAGGGGATGTTTTTTCTGATCCAGTCTATTCAGTGTTCTGTATGTTTCTTGCACCTTCATAGGAATATCACTCTTTAGGATGGGAAAGTTTTCTTCTATAATTTTGTTGAATATATTTTCTGGACCTTTGATCTGCAATTCTTCTCCTTCTTCTACTCCTATTATTCTTAGATTTGGTTTTTTTATTATGTCCCATATTTTCTGAATGTTTTGTGATGAGAATTTGTTGGATTTGCTGTTTTCTTTGGTCAGGGCGTTTATTTTCTCTATGGTGTCTTCATATTCTGAGATTCGTTCTTCTATCTCTTGTATTCTATTGGTTATGCTTGTTCCTGAAGTCTCTGTTTGTTTACCTAGATTTTCCATATCCAGCCGGCCCTCGGTTTGTGTTTTCTTCACTGCCTCCATTTCAGTTTTCAATTCTTGAACTGATTCCATTACCTGTTTGATTGTTTTTTCTTGGTTTCCCAGGGTATCATTTACGAATTTACTCATTTCTTCAAACTTTTTGTTATATTTGTCTTCCATTTCTTTACTCATTTCTTCCATCTTTTTGTTATATTTCTCTTCTGTTTCTTTAAGTGAGTTATTCATACCCTGTTTAAGAGACTCTATTGCTTTCATAATGACACTGTTTTCCACTTCTTCCGGAATAGGGTGCTCATGTCCTTCTGTCGTAAGATCGCTGGGATCTGGTGTTTTCATGTTGTTTTTCAGATTATTGGAGGAATTCTTGCCTTGGCGCCTGCCCATCTCTTCCTTCAGATGTTCTCCAATGGCTCTTCCCTCCGCTGGGTCTTCTTCTACTGGATTAGTGCCCCTTGCTATCCAGGAATCACTTTGCCTGCAGCCTTAGCTTGCTGCAGGCAGGCTATTAGAACAAAGGGACTTCTGTCCCTTTGCACTCACTGCCTGTCCGGCCCACAGTGTCCACCCCGGCTGAGATGGAGGAATTTAAGCCCCGAAAAAGGGAGAGGGGAAGGGTAGAGGTTCCAGGCAGAAAGCTGGGATGGCGTAGCAGGAGAGAGGGTTTAGCTGCCCCTTTGGAGTAGCCAGGGAGATAAGGATGGCGGGAATATTGTGTGTTCCTTAACCGGACTTGTGTGGCGGTCAGGAACAACACACTTACCCCTCCATTGTATCTTCTGGTACAGGATCAGAGCCACTTGCTGGTCAGAAGTCTCCCTGCCTGCAGTCTTAGCTTGCTGCAGGCCGGCTATTAGAACAAAGGGACTCCCTTCCCTTTGCACTCACCGCCTGTCCCGGCCTGTGGCACCCACCCCGGCTGAGATGGAGGAATTTAAGCACCGAAAAAGGGAGAGGGGAGGGTAGGGGTTCCAGGCATAAAGCTGGGATGGCGTAGCAGGAGAGAGGGTTTAGCTGGGGGAAGCTGCCCCTTTGGAGTAGCCAGGGAGATAAGGATGGCGGGAATATTGTGTGTTCCCTAACCGAACTTGTGTGGCGGTCAGGAACAGCACACTTATCCCTCCATTGTATCTTCTGGTACAGGATCAGAGCCCCTCGCTGGTCAGAAGTCTCCCTGCCTGCAGTCTTAGCTTGCTGCAGGCTGGCTATCAGAACAAAGGGGCTCCCTTCCCTTTGCATTCACCGCCTGTCCTGACTCCGAGTTTTTATTGGAAAAGATTAATTAGATTTACATGTCATCTGGCATCCAACCTTTGGGATGTGATTTCCCAAGACAGCTGCTTGCCTGTTTACAGCCACCAACACCCACTGGAGTTCCATGTGGGAACTGCGTCCCCTGAATTTTCCTTTTCTCCCCTGAACCCTCTGAGTGAGTTTAGTATTCCCTGTAGCAGCCCTTCTGCAGTGGTCTCCACAAACCCCAAACACCACAGCGCCTGGGCTCTGAATACCCCCGGAGTTTTCCCCTCACCCAGGGCCGGCTCTGCCTTCATTACCATCTGTGCTCATGCTCCCTGCCCATCACAGTGCTGCCAATGCCTGTTTCCCTGTATCTGCCTTTCAGATGGTCTCCTTCTCCCTGTGGATTGTGTGCTTCCCCTAGATAGCCCCTCCTCAGGCTGCCGCCACACTAGGGGAGCCCCCTGGGCACCTGCTCAGGCAACTCTCACATACTCTCAGCTCACAGTTATACATCATCTGCAGCGCCTGTCCTCAGCCAGGCTGTGCAGTGCCTGTGTTCTCAGCCCAGACCCTGCCACATGATGACAGCCAGCCTTCCACGTCAATGTCATCATCAGCAAAGTTGGTGAGAAACTTGGAATTCTTAAAGGGGGGAATTAGCCAAAGAGATAGAGAGAGACTTTTTTTCCAAAGTTATGAATGGGAAACAATATTATAATAAAGGGAGTTAGATCTCTGCAAGATTCTACAATGCATGGTTTGAAAACAATCATTTAATTAAATAATATAACAATCAAACAATTAAACGATAGGGTAGTTACCTGGGGTTCACGGGACGTCTATTATAATCATTATTGGTTTGGTAATTTTTGTTTTATTTCTAAAAACATTGGTTGATAGCAGTGCCAAATGTGAGAAATTGACTGATGAGTACAGGCCTTCAAAAAAAAACTTACTGAAACAGATAAGAGAGATATTCAGATACACATAGAGGAGTTTAAAGGAGAGCCAACCAGTTATACTATGAAATTAGAGAGTAGATTCCAAGGTTATCAAATAGCCAGCCTTAATTTATCCAGTCACGAACAAGAACAACCACCACCTGACAGGTATCCCCAAGGCTACGGAAGAGCTTACCAAACACTTCTGGAAATATCAATTCCTTAAATCTCCTCAAATCTAATATATCCACAGGAATCCAGTGAGTTCTTCCATAGCCTAAGGAAACAATATTCTCATTTGATACGCATTCACCTTTTGTGAGGCAGATGTTAAATATATGGGCAACTATTAATAGAAGTATCCCACATGACAGGGAAAGACTTGGTTGCAGCAGTATTGGAACCAGAAACACAGATACAGTGGAGAACCCTGTGAAAAGATGATGCTAGGATTACTGAACAATGACGTAGGGTTAGAGGTATTGATTTCTCAAGTCCACCTTCTGGGACAGGCAGAAGTTGATATATGAAGGCAATCGTTGAATTCCAGAGAGAAAAGAATACCAGATGTCACAAGACACATTGTCTCCAGTAGGAAAGATGACAGAGGTCAATCAAATCAGCAGGACAGCTGGGTACCCTACAGTTCCCCATCTGAGGTGTCGTAGCTCTCATTTGGGGTTGAAAAAGGAGTCACAGAAAATTCAGTTTCTTGCAGAAAGCGTACAAGGTTACTTTATTGGCAGTGTCTCTAAGAAACAAAATTAGTGCTGTGATGTGGCTGGTGCCGTGATTCAGTGGGGTGTAGTGGTCAGGAGTAGGAAGGCATCAGTATGGTCTCAGAACGTCAGGACAGTCCGGATACTGAAATATGAAATATAAGATGTTGTTTCACATTTCCAGAACTCACGGTGCCCAGAGGGTAAATAAAGCATGTGTTATGAGTCTCAGTGAAAACCATCCATAACAGACATTTCATACTGGCTCTTTGCCATACACTTTGTAGAAGCTTTTTAGGCACTGTCTCATTTAAACTTCATCCTAAGCAGCAGCACTATAAGGTCAATTATCATATTTTCTCCATTTTAGAGACTATGAAAACTGAGGCTTAGCGTTATAAATGCCCTGGGTTGTACATGTGCGTGCAGAGTCTGAACCGTCACAGAAGGCCCATTTGTGCTCCTCTCCCGTTTCTCCTTCATTTCTGTTGGTCGTTTCCCCTACCATAAAAAAAAATCTCTTTCCCCCATCCACCCCATAAAAATAATCTCTTTCCCCCACCAACCCCATAAAAATAATCTCTTTCCCCCACCCATCCCATAAAAAGAATCTTAAGGCTCACCTCTTTCCAGAGCGAAGCAGCTCAAGTGCTTCATTTATTTTCTCAAAAGGTAAAACATGGGTAATTAATGGCTCCAATGGAAACTTCTTGGCCATAAAATCAGCCACAAGCTTGGGGACAGAATCTTTACTCTTAAAGCCTGAAAGGAGAGAGCAGCTTCGTGAGATCTAGTCAGGGGGCAGGCAGGAGAATTAGACAAGAGATCTTCCAACGAAACCAAGTTCCTAACCGTGCAGTAGTGACAGGCTGCCACCTGAGCGGCAGATGTGGGACTCAAACACCCTCTGCATTGCGTTTACGTCTTATGACATGCCACCTGATGAACAGGGTCGCTGGCTGATGACGGCTTAGTAGATCTTTCTTAGAGAAATCATACTGCAGATGTTTATAGGCAAAGGAAGAGTGTAGGCGTATGTTAATATCTTGTACAGTCTCCATCCTGTAAGGTATTTTTGGGCCTTACAGAGACCCAAGTAGAAGGAGCCAGGAAATCCCTGGCTCGTTTATGGGAACACAGAGCATCCTGTCTTGGGATTTCCTGCAATAGTTCTTGCTATAGAGAGAACAGTGATTTTCATGATGCCTTCCAAGAACTTTTCTGTTACAAAAAGGAAGAAATTCTGGAAAAAGCTAGGAATTAGATCCTCGAAGTTGGGGAGATGGTTAAGGTAATTAAGTTCTTTTTGTTTTTTCCCGACATTAGATTTTTAATGATTATCTGTGAATTTAACCCAATGCCCATGATCACACTAACTTCTGTGTTCTCCCAGTCCACTCTGTAATCCTGTGACCTCTCTCTACAAAAAAAATATACCAAGTCCAAATCATGTTGCCTCTGTTCTCACTGGAGCATGGCCAAACTCCCAATGGCCAGCTTCTTAGAGAAAAGTGAGTCCTTCCTTACCACCACCACACCAGAAGCCACTAACTGGAGAGCAACACTTGAGCATCCCTGTTACAACTTTTAAGAATTCTATTCACTGGCTTCCTGTCTGGACTGTTTCTTTTAGGGATAGGTGTGCAGGTAGGGGTAGAGGTTGTCATGGCGGCTGTGTTGATCTCCAGAACAAAAAACAAAACAAATAAACAAACCCAGTAACATTAAACAGTGGTTTCAGTGCTGGGGGAGCCTGTAACTCTAGGTCTGAAGAGAGGAAATTGGGAGATTCCTGGGATTGGCTGGCCAGGAAGTCTAGCCTAACCATGAGCTGCAGGCCACTGAGACCCCCCAGAGTCAATGACCAAGGCTGTTTGCTCCTGCGTAGCTACTTCAAATGTTCTCTGACTCCACACACACCCACATGTTCACCTTGGCACACAAGAACACATACAGAACTTGATCCTCAGCTGTGAATACATACCTCCAAATATTGCTCCTTTCCAGGTGCGTCCCAGCAACAGCAACATGGGGTTCACAGAGAGGCTTTGGGTATCAGGAGCCATCCCAACCATAATACTTACACCACACGATGCATGGCTGCTTAACAGGGAAGACATCTGGAATATAAATAATATTTAAAGTGGATATTCTTGTGGTCTACTCATGATACACACTTTCATGTCATATGAAGATATGTGCAGAGAAATTTTTTGAGAAAAGGGGTGATTGAATGATTTTTTTTCTTCCTTATCAACTAATAAAGAAGCAAGTCTAACTGCGAGCCTATGCAGTCTGGGTCCTCCAAGGAGAATATTGTTTCCTCATCACGTGACTCTCAGGCTGCCTATGCGCAGGTTCACTCACTGTCATTGTCCACTAATTACAGTTTTGAAGTTTGCACTCTAAGACAGAATTTTGATGGTGTAGATGTAATGATGACAGCATCACAAGTTGCCTCTTATCCATTTGTCAACCTCCCTTTTTAACAAGTCCTACTGTGGGGCTTAGATCAAGAACGGGCATGTTTTCAGTGGCTGTGCATCCAATGTGTGCAGTGGTTTTACATTACTCCATTATCTGTAGACATCCAGGAAGCTTTCACCTTTCAATTGTTTCATCTAAAATTCTGTAGTAAAAGATGATTTATAATCCCCAAAGATAAATGATACCCCATCTTTTGATTTTGAATTATGACATTTAGAAAACCAGATGTCCTCTCAGAAAACATGGGTATCAGACTTTTGGATCTTCAAATCCAACAATAACCCAGGCTCAGATGAACAAACAGGGAGACTGTCTTGTGAACCACAGAAGAGCTATGGCCGTGGGGACACCAGAACCCTGAACGTGGAAGGACTCCCCATCCACAGAGGAGACGCCAGCCTCTCTTGACATCTTGTCTCAGTTCGAGGCTGAGAAGAATGTCACTCCCAGAGCCCCATTCCCATTCTCTATTACCAACTCTGCCAAGGCTTCTGGAGGACCTCAGTAATGGTGATTCTTTAGGTCTCTGGGGTTGTTTCTCTAGAACGCCAGAGGTCTTAGGTTGGCTGATATGTAACTGGAGGAGTTACACACTTAGCAATATATGGTGTTTGCAACTATAAGGATAATGTTCATTTCAAAAGTTTTAGCACTGTAGGCTTGGCAATAGCCTTTCTTATTATTATCCGGAGCTGACTTAATTCAGTGCTTACCACATGGCAGCTGGTTTCATGCTAAGTATTTTACATGCACTATGTCATGTAGATCATAAATAGCCCTATAAAATGTGCATCTCTTTTCTTTTTTTTTTGTTTTTTGTTTATTGGAAGAGGAGATAGAAGAGGCAGGGACTTAGTTTCAAGTCCCTGGGTGCGAGAATGGTGGGAAGGAAAGAGAGACAGAGAACCAATATTTATATCTCCCAAATTTAGGGGCTACGATAGAATCTATGAATTTTATTTTGAAAGGTATTTACTCCAACATGTAGATCTGGGTGTTTTTTGTTGCCTGGTACGGTGCCGTCTCTGAGATGAATACATGGTGATCCATTGAACGAGCCACTCCTCTATATGTTTGATGCTAATGAAATAATACTTGGCCTCATATTACTCATTTTTTCTTTTGGCCACATGATGAGACTTGAAACTGCTTTTCAGAATAGTTAATTTCAAATATAATAAAATATAATATTAAGAATGTGGAAGAAAATCTATTTGTCTATTTAGGTCCAGAATTTGTTTTTAATTCCCTTGATGAATTGATTTTTTACAAAAAAATCCCAAACAAACAAAGAAACAAAAAAGTCAATGAAAAGCTTTTCTGAATTAATGATAAATGGAGCATTATTACTTGAGAAACACTCATAGAACTGAAAAATGA